GAAAAAAAAGGAAAAGAGGAGATACTGGCGTACTGATAGAGGGGGGGGGGCTTAGGGGAAATCAAATTCAAACGTGGTTTATTTCTGATTCCACAACGGTGAATGCTGAAATGACATAATTTCCGAAATTTTTCCTCACTTTTTAGTAAATTATACGTTTGTATGTGTTTGTTGGAAAATAAAAAAATTCCTAAATTTACAACCAGGCAAAAAATATGATTCTTGAGATTCCTACATGTCAGGGCCCGAGGAACGGCGGGGATCGAGAGCCTCGAGGCATCAAAATATGCTCATCTGACCGTGATTAAATGCCTAAAACCCCTAAGCTAATGGGGGCTTTGCCCCCTGGATTCCATCTAGGGCCCTACGGCGGGCCCTTATATGATCATCTGACGGTAATTTAATGCCTAAAATCACTGATTTTTTGGGGCTCCGCCCCCTGGACCCCACGCCAAATAGTGACTTGCCAGTGTCACAAAATAATAAGGTATACACAAATATATGCTCATCTGGCCTTAATTAAACGCCTAAAACCCCTGAGCTTCCGGGGCCGGCTCCGCCGCCTCGACCCCACCTCTTTGAAATTCAGACAAGGATTAAGAGTATAGAGAACGGTACAACGCATCGTTTTCTTTCTCTAATAATAAAACGTCAAAGCCTCGTGCAGGAGGGAGGAGGGGGGGGGGGGGGGGGACTGAATTGAGACGAGGATTCAGAGGCGAGAATGGTAATACGAATCTTTAATTATTTAATGAAACGTAAAAGCTTATGCGCTTCGCGCGGGATGGAGGGGGAACTAAATTCCGATGAGGATTATATTCGAGAACGGTACAATGAATCGTCTTCTTCTCTAATGATTAAATGAAGATTGAAAGCTTCCGCGCTTTGCGCGGGAGGGGGGAACCTGAATTCAGACGAGGATTAAGAGTCGAGAACGGTACAACGAATCGTCTTCTTTCTTTAATAGTTTAATAAAACGTCAAAGCTTCCGCGCTTCGCGCAGGAGGGGGAGGAACTGAATTTAGACAAGGATTAAGAGTCGAGAACTGTACAACGAATCGTCTTCTTCTCTAATGATTAAATGAAGATTAAAAGCTTCCGCGCCTCGCGCGGGAGGGGGGAACCTGAATTCAGACGAGGATTAAGAGTCGAGAACTGTAAAACGAATCGTCTTCTTTCTCTAATGATTTAATGAAACGTAGAAGCTTCCGCGCTTCGCGCAGGAGGGGGAGGACTGATTTTAGACAAGGATTAAGAGTCGAGAACTGTACAACGAATCGTTTTCTTCCTCTAATAATTTAATGAAATGTTAAAGCTTCCGCGCTTCGCGCGGGAGGGGGGGGGGGGAACTGAAATCAGACGAGGATAAAGGGTCGAGAACGGTACAACGAATCGTCTTCTTTCTTTAAAAGTTTAATAAAACGTCAAAGCTTCCGCGCTTCGCGCAGGAGGGGAGGGGGGGGCTGAATTTAGACAAGGATTAGGAGTCGAGAACAGTACAACGAATCGTCTTCTTTAGCTAATGATTTCATGAAACGTAAAAGCTTCAGCGCTTCGCGCGGGAGGGGGGGGGGGGAACTGAATTCAGACGAGGATTAGGAGTCGAGAACGGTACAACGAATCGTCTTCTTTCTTTAATAGTTTAATAAAACGTCAAAGCTTCCGCGCTTCGCGCAGGAGGGGAAGGGGAGGAACTGAATTAAGACAAGGATTAAGAGTCGAGAACTGTACAACGAATCGTTTTTCTTTCTCTAATGATTTAATGAAACGTAAAAGCTTCCGCGCTTCGCGCGGGAGGAGAAAAACTAAATTCAGACGAGAATTATTTTCGAGAACAGTACAACGAATCGTCTTCTTTCTCTAATAATATAATGAAACGTCAAAGCCTGGGAGGGGGAAACTCGCCCCCCCCCCCGCATTACGTCACTGTTGGTCACCATAACGTACCAATATTTGGCTCGCATAATTTCAAATCCTGGATCCGCGCCTGATTTAGACGATGTCGGCGATGATGATAATTCTAATGACAATATTGCTAGATGCTTTTCCAACCAATTATTATGCCTAAAAATATACGCTAATTTATTTTTGAATCAAGATTTGAGAGATGTCGAGAATAGTTTGCATTTAAAAATAAATAAAAATGAAGCACCATTACTTTCTTTTACAATATGTTCACTTTGATAGTGGTTATAGTTTTTTTTTAAATTAAATTCTTTCACCCTAGTTGTTAATTTAAAAATGATTAGCGATATGTTAAGTGACTTTAGTCAGATTTGTCTGATTACCATTATTAAAACATTAAAGACAAGTCACAGGATTTTCCCGGAAAGGCAGTTACAGAATTTTCCCAGATCAGAAAGTGGTGAATAACAGTGAACAGGCATTATTAGTAGGCCTACATAGGCAAAAGAAGAAATAAAGAAAGAAATATCAATTATCAAAATATCATGTAGATCAAATTCTACTGGGAAGCAATTTTATTTGGCCTAACGTTTACCCGAGATGTCTCCCTTTTCTATACTTTTGATGCGCGTCCACCATCGGGCGGAATTAGGGCAGGTCTAGGCGGAAATAGGCAAGGAAAATGCCTCACGCAGACGGCGCACTACGGACAATCGCTTATGATTTCAGGCATAAGAATGGCATGGTTGGATTCGCTAGAATTTCGGCTACAAATTGATATACATTAGCGCCTGTATAATTCATTTTCAGAAAAGTTATCTAAGAAAAACTGCCTATCGGGCGGATACCGGGCAGGGTACGGTACTGTAGCTGCCGCTGCTCCTATAGTATTAATTACAACCCACTGATCTCTACGGAAAAATCATGTTGTTGTTGTTGTTGTTTTAGTTTTAGGGGCGTGTGTCATTCAATTGTCCTAAAATCATATCTAATTGATGGTTTTTAAAACGGTATCATTTGAATTTCCATTTCCAAGCATTATTTTGAACTGTCCCGAAATTGTTTTCCTTTCTTGAAATCAGACTACAGCCCCAGCCTATTCTTTTCTTATGCATGGGGATATTGAAAGGCCTTGTCCTCCCAGACAAGGATAAATAGCTTATTCAGTATGCTACCTTTAGAGACAATACTTTAAAATAATGCTGTCATTGTTGCAATGTCAGGAATGCTATTATTACCTCTTTGGTAATCCACGTATTTGCCAAAAGTATTCGCTCAATGAAGGGAGGGTCGGATTTGTTTTCTTCAATTCATTAATTGATGCCATATCTGAAAGAGCTGAGTAGTTTGTTACGTAACTATTCAAAAATTGCAGGTGCAAGCTATTGAAAAGCCAAGCTTCCTTTATTCATTGGTGCCCTTTTATAGAATCCGTAGCGTATACTAAATTAATAGACCCGTGTTCTATTCATCATGCTATGTCAGGGCAGTAACCTATTGTCATATCACTTTAAGTTAAAGTCAGTAGTTTGCAGAATAAATGAAAATAACATAAAACCTCCCTAATATATCAGTAACTGAAAGAAAAAAATTAGGGGCAATTTTGACAACAAAGTAAAGTAAAGTCATTAACATGCAGAAAGTGTTAACAACATCAACAAACGAACCAGAGAATAAAATTGAGGCAACGCGGTCTTGTGGATAAGACTGATCGCATCACAATGCAATGTATCCGGTTCGACTCCCAGCTTCTCCTTTATTTTTTTTTAATTATTTTTTTTCTTCACCCATGATATTGACTTTCCATCTCTTTTTTTTAAAGGGGACACCCCCCCCCCTCCCCCAACCTCCTAAAAAAGGAGTAAATAACATGTGATACTCTTTCCTTTTTTTTTAAGAGCGACTTTTTGAATTACTTAGTCGTTAGAATACATCTTTTGATACATCTACAACAATAAGTATCAACATGAAAAAATACATAGAGATTGGCAGTGTGACACATTTAGTCTAGTGGATAGGCAATTGCCTGGTAACTGGAAGGTATCGGGTTCGACACCCAGCTAGTGTTTTTTTTTTTAATCTTTAAAAAAGAAAAACGTCTTTTGCTACATCTACACGATAAGTATCAATATGAAAAAATACATAGAAATTGGCAGTGTGACACATTTAGTCTAGTGGATAGGCAATTGCCTGGTAACTGGAAGGTATCGGGTTCGACACCCAGCTAGTGTTTTTTTTTTTTAATCTTTAAAAAAGAAAAACGTCTTTTGCTACATCTACACGATAAGTATCAATATGAAAAAATACATAGCGATTGGCAGTGTGACACATTTAGTCTAGTGGATAAGCAATTGCCTGGTAACTGGAAGGTACCGGTTCGAAACACAGCAAGTGCTTTTAAAAAAAAAATCTTTGTAAGAGAAAAACTTATGTTAAACCCCTTTTTATCTCACTCAAAGTCCATATTTATTGCTATAATTCTTTTAATTGATTGCTACAATTTTTTTAATTTTTTTAATTATTATTATTATTTTTTTTTTTTTTTGGGGGGGGGGGTAGCTGGCGGTCGTCGTCAGCTAGCTGGCGGTCGTCGTCAGCTAGCTGGCGGTCGTCGTCAGCTAGCTGGCGGTCGTCGTCAGCTAGCTGGCGGTCGTCGTCAGCTAGCTGGCGGTCGTCAGCGTGGCCTGCGGCCGGTAGCGGTAGCCACAGAGTCATGTCCATTTTAAAAACTAGATTCAAGAGCCTCTTATTGCCAGGTTAACATCGTTTTTTTACATTTTCAATCACAATTTCCTCGTTTAAATCACTCTCTACTGTCCCATACTATCCTTTTCCAGCCTGTAAACAACTCATTTGCAGCATGCATGCAATGAACGGTGCTTTACTCCTCCTATAAATTTTATAAAAGCGCCCTAATCTTGCACGGGGTGAGACAAAGGGCCTTTTACATTTGAAAGCATTCACCCCACCTCGCCTGTATACCCGAGCAGAATTAAATGGTGCTCAACAATAAAAACCCACAGTCTTGGGTCAAGATCGAGGTCTATATTTTTTTGTTTATTTAGTTATTTGTTTTAATTGACAGTACTGTAGTGACTAAACTCGTTTTTACCATTACAAAACTTGGTTTTTTATTTAAGAACACCGTACAGCATATTGGGTGTGTCTAATTTAAAACATACGTGTCAGACCCGAAGCCTCATTACTTTAATGGTCACGTGGGTCTGTGTACTTACGTTAAGGACAAAGTAGTCCCTTGATTATTTATCTATAAATTGTTTGTAGGTAAAGTTAAATGGACCGTAATGAAATTATGATATTTTCTCATGTATGTTTTATTGTTCTATCCTAAACTTGATTATTATACTTAGTTCAGAAGGATGTGCATTCATGCTCGAAAAGTAGTCCTTACGAATGCGCGCTATGTCAGGCAAGGCCCTGATGGGTATTTTATATAGCGGACATTCGTTCACTTGTTTTAAGCGATGCTGGTCTGTCTCCATTTACTCCGACACGCTTAAGTTTTGCCGTCAATGTAGCCTGTTTGTGTTGCACCATTTAAACAGGTATGTAGAGATAATTGAATATATTTGATGCTATTGAGTTTTACTTTGCTACCAGTGTTTATGATGCCGTAATATACGAGTCTGTTCATTAATTGTATATTATGTAATGAGATGTTTTATTCACTGTACGGTAGAAACGTACCGAGGCATGTTAAATGTATTCTTCTGTTATTTACGGGATTGATGAGTAGTCTGTAAGCATCAGACTCGGTTTATATATCATGGGGATTTTTACAACAAATACTGATGTAAATGTAAAAGTCCATAGTATATAATTGATGTTTCATGTTTTTTTTCTACTTTAGCCGCTGAGGCGTAAGTTGAGGTTACTGAGGTTACAAACTACGCTACAAAGCTACAATTGACGATGACGTATGATTTTTTCTTACCCGTGTGACATTTAGTCTAGGGTGAGTTGCGTAGGATTATTTATGTTGTGTATGCAATTTATTGTAGTTAAGACTATTTGATATCTATACATGCATTTACAGATAATATTGAATACTATGTATTTTATTTCTCGGTTTCTTAATTGCATTTCAATGTATATGAACTGAACTGAACTGTACTGCATTTTGTCTACAGAAATTTAATCCAAATGATGACTTGCATGATTTAATTATGTGATTATTGTACTTATGATGCTTTTGTTTTATTTTTCTGTACAATGCAGGGATTTCCGTTTTCCGTTTTTATTTATAAACGAAATAAACTTCATTTGCACTTCACCATGGCGTCTCAACTTCTTCATTTTTGTTGGCTATAATTTAAACCGTGGACCACGCGTCCCACAGTACTTTTACATATTAGGTATATTAGATACTCTGTTTTAAATACAATCAATTAGACTGTCGAGCAATGAATTATCTTCTGCTTCTTGTCCTAAAAACATATCTAATTACTGGATTTTAAAACGGTATCATTTGAATTTTCATTTCCCAGCATTATTTTGAACTGTCCCGAAATTGTTTTCCTTTCTTGAAATCAGACTACAGCCCCAGTCTATTCTTTTCTTATGCATGGGGATATTGAAAGGCCTTGTCCTCCCAGACAAGGATAAAAAGCTCATTCAGTAGGCTACCTTTAGGGACAATACTTTAAAATAATGCTGTCATTGTTGCAATGTCAGGAATGCTATTATTACCTCTTTGGTAATCCTCGTATTTGCCAAAAGTATTCGCTCAATGAAGGGAGGGTCGGATTTTTTTTCTTCAATTCATTAATTGATGCCATGTCTGAAAGAGCTGAGTAGTTTGTTACGTAACTATTCAAAAATTGCAGGTGCAAGCTATTGAAAAGCCAAGCTTCTTTTATTCCTTGGTGCCCTTTTATAGAATTCGTAGCGTATACTAAATTGAATAGACCCGTGTTCTATTTATTATGCTATGTCAGGGCAGTGACCTATTGTCATATCACTTTAAGTTAAAGTCAGTAGTTTGCAGAATAAATGAAAATAACATAAAACCTCCCTATATATATCAGTAATATCAGTAACTGAAAAAAAAAAAATAGGGGCAATCTTGACAACATCGGACTACAAAAATAATAATAAATATGCCTCCCGAAAGCGTGAAATCAGTAAATCGGCATATTTTGTAAAGTCATTTTCATGCAGAAAGTGTTAACAACAACAAACGAACCAGAGAATAGCAATGAGGCAAAGTGGTCTTGTGGATAAGACTGATCGCTTCACAATGCAATGTATCCGGTTCGACTCCCAGCTTCTCCTTTTTTTTATTTATTATTATTTTTCTTCACCCCATGATATTGACTTTCCATCTCTTTTTTTTAAAGGGGACACCCCCCCCCCTCCCCCCACCTCCTAAAAAAGGAGTAAATAACATGTGATACTCTTTCCTTTTTTTTTAAGAGCGACTTTTTGAATTACTTAGTCGTTAGAATACATCTTTTGATACATCTACAACAATAAGTATCAACATGAAAAAATACATAGAGATTGGCAGTGTGACACATTTAGTCTAGTGGATAGGCAATTGCCTGGTAACTGGAAGGTACCGGGTTCGACACCCAGCTAGTGTTTTTTTTTTTAATCTTTAAAAAAGAAAAACGTCTTTTGCTACATCTACACGATAAGTATCAATATGAAAAAATACATAGAAATTGGCAGTGTGACACATTTAGTCTAGTGGATAGGCAATTGCCTGGTAACTGGAAGGTATCGGGTTCGACACCCAGCTAGTGTTTTTTTTTTTTTAATCTTTAAAAAAGAAAAACGTCTTTTGCTACATCTACACGATAAGTATCAATATGAAAAAATACATAGCGATTGGCAGTGTGACACATTTAGTCTAGTGGATAAGCAATTGCCTGGTAACTGGAAGGTACCGGGTTCGAAACACAGCAAGTGCTTTTAAAAAAAAATATCTTTGTAAGAGAAAAACTTATGTTAAACCCCTTTTTATCTCACTCAAAGTCCATATTTATTGCTATAATTCTTTTAATTGATTGCTACAATTTTTTTAATTTTTTTAATTATTATTATTATTTTTTTTTTTGGGGGGGGGGGGGTAGCTGGCGGTCGTCGTCAGCTAGCTGGCGGTCGTCGTCAGCTAGCTGGCGGTCGTCAGCGTGGCCTGCGGCCGGTAGCGGTAGCCACAGAGTCATGTCCATTTTAAAAACTAGATTCAAGAGCCTCTTATTGCCAGGTTAACATCGTTTTTTTACATTTTCAATCACAATTTCCTCGTTTAAATCACTCTCTACTGTCCCATACTATCCTTTTCCAGCCTGTAAACAACTCATTTGCAGCATGCATGCAATGAACGGTGCTTTACTCCTCCTATAAATTTTATAAAAGCGCCCTAATCTTGCACGGGGTGAGACAAAGGGCCTTTTACATTTGAAAGCATTCACCCCACCTCGCCTGTATACCCGAGCAGAATTAAATGGTGCTCAACAATAAAAACCCACAGTCTTGGGTCAAGATCGAGGTCTATATTTTTTTGTTTATTTAGTTATTTGTTTTAATTGACAGTACTTTTACATATTAGGTATATTAGATACTCTGTTTTAAATACAATCAATTAGACTGTCGAGCAATGAATTATCTTCTGCTTCTTGTCCTAAAAACATATCTAATTACTGGATTTTAAAACGGTATCATTTGAATTTTCATTTCCCAGCATTATTTTGAACTGTCCCGAAATTGTTTTCCTTTCTTGAAATCAGACTACAGTCCCAGTCCTAGACAAGGAAACAGAGCCTCTACATAATAGACTTCGTTCGTACGCCATTTGCTTTGAATATTCATTCATAGTATTTCGATAGCATTACGTCATCTTTCATACGCCTGTCCGGCATGCATTTCGAGGAACTTGTACTTTTCTATCGGTAGCGTACATAGAGATACATACTACTAAGCAAAGAGATTCGATCATACACAGTATGTCCTTCGTAGGAGGACTAGAGGGCCAACTAAAATCGTGACCTTTGACATTTCATAGGTTTTGCAGTGGATGAATTATTGGGGTTTTCAGTCAGACCGCAGCCGGTGCGAAAACCCTCTATTTTATTCAGCACGTATGCAAGAATTTACGTGTCTTGCATACGTAATGAGTAGTGCAGACGGTCTTCCCGATCGGCAGTTTTTGCCTTTATAATTGTTCATTTCTCATGAAATGGGTCTTATTTCAAAGATAAGAAGTTGCACTCTCTATATACTTATATGACAATCATGTTTAATATATTTTGGAAACAGATATTTCGCCTTGAAAATGGGGTTTTTCGACGATAAATCTATCTAAAGAGTAGGGCTGATTTTCACATAGAAATCATTCTTGCGTCAAGAAGATGTTATAATCAGCATAAAGCATAAATATTTTTCTTTACAATGATATCAAAATTATTATATTTTACGCTGTACCAAAGTCAGGAACCAAGAAAAATCACGCGAATGTTCATGAATAATTAAAAAAAGTAGTCAACTTTGCCGATGTGAAAATAGAGCGTTCTGATTGGCCAAATACGTCAACTACGTCACATATGTTCCGCTTTGGTTTATTAACATTCTGAATACCAAATTTGAGTAAGCATTCCTTGTGGCGTGCGCCTGTAATGCACGTGCGCGCAAGCAGTCATGACAACAACCTTAGGACCCTGGATCAATTACGTCACTTGCCTTTTAAATAATATTTTTCTACATTATTTCTTTTTTAATCATTTTTCTTAATTTTTTCGGCCAGTCGGTGGCGCGGCGGAGCTCCCTGGAGTTTACTAATCAGTTATGCATTGCCATTGCTCAAACGGCGAGCGTGCACGAGTATGAAATCACACAATTTCGTGCCATCATATAGAAAGAACAAATTGGTAATTTCCGGGTTTTTAGGGTCTTAATTACTATGATTATAAAGAGAACAAGATTTTGCGTCAATTAGGTTTTGACATTATTTTGATCAGTGACTTTTCATCTTTCCAACGAATCTCAAAGTAAACAAATTAATTATGTACCAAAGTCAGGAACCAAAAGCGAAATTTCGGGTACAAAATAGCTGTTGAAATGTTACAAAAATAACGACAATAAAAGTGGTGAAAAAGGATCGTTTCAAAATTGTGAAATATGGCAAGTTTCATATCAAACTGAAGCTGAGAATCTCGAGAGTAATTACCGTTGCGTGCTGCCATGTTGACAGAAGTTATCGACCACAAAAGCAGCTGCATGTACACCCTTACAAATCTCACAGAAAATCTCGTGAATTTCAGCACACGTGAATGTACGAGATAACCAAAGAGACGCTGAATAAAAATCAGCGTATAGCCTCATTATCGCGCACGCTGCGGTCTGACTGTTTTGTCCGATTTGAACGACGGTTTTGGAGGTCAATGAATATTCATGAGCAATGACGTAAAAAATACGCCAACTACTGTTCGTTGATTAGCCATCGACAAAATGTTTTATGTATTAGGTCATGCATAAAACATTTTTTTCATTCCCAGAATTCCCTACGATTTGAGCACGAAAATGGCGGTTGTATGAACTGCGACTTTCAAGTTATTCAATTACGAACAATGAAACATTTTTCTTTTAAGTGAATTTCTATTATAATAGAAGTTTGTCAAGTACATCTTAGGGAAGCAGAAAATCTTCAGGCGAACATTGACATCGAACTCGAAGTGATACCCTATGATATCAAGAAAAGTAAGTAAAGATCCATTTTGTTTGAAGGTCTCTGAAATTATTGTGATGTGTTCGTCATTGCAGTGAGCGGCTCCCCGCATTGTCACAACGTATTACCCGGTTAACCCCCTACGCCATCCTATTTTCTTTCTTCTGACCAAAGAATATTAACTGATTGAATGAACTCTAATTTAAGTCATCGACGGTAATATTTTTAGAAACAATCAGGATTTTACCGTAGATCTAGGTTATTTCATTAGAGCGCATCTCATAATTTAAAGTTCAGTTCATAGCTTGATTACCGATAGTAATCGGTCGTAGATGTGGACCTGTTGTAGACTGCGCAAATGGCTCATTGCTAGTCCAAGCCGATGAGATCTCGTCGAGCAGAATGTGATTTTCAATCCGCCGGTGCTAGCCGGCTGTAACACCAAGAAGCGACTGCGTTTCCTGAGCTGGCGCGGCTATGACTTTACAGTGTGTTAGTGTTACAGTAAAGCCTAGATCTAGACTAGTATTCATAGCATATTCTAGCCTGAATTTTCTGTCTCTTTCGTTCGTTAGCCTCTGATTTGGGTAGGGTCGGCTCCTCTC